GACCAAGGCCATGCTGCTCCTTATTCCGGTGATTTGCATGATCCAGAGCCCTGGGGAAGCAGGGAAGCTCTGAGCCTGGCTCTCGGCAGCCCAGCTGAAAGCAACAGGAATGTTTTGACCACATTCCCTCTTGGAATCATTGGCCTGGGTTGGAGGATGGAGGGAAGGGATGGAGGTGTAACACACCACCACTGCCTGAAGCTCAGAGCTGTCCCGGGGGTGACTTAAACTGCATCCAAGCCTGATGGAAAAGAAGCAGGAATCTGGCTGCCAGCCCGTGTGTGGTCACTCAAAGAGAGGGAACACCCTGGAATTCCACGTGACGGCGGAAAAGGAGTAACTGGAACCGAAGGTGGCAGGGGAGACTTGCCCAGTGTGATCCCGGGGCCAGTGGAACAAACCATGTGCCCGTGGGCAGGCGGCATTCCCGGGCCTGGGCTGTTATTTCAGGCTGTATCCCGAGGGCAGGGAAATGCCAGGCCCACTTCTAATTAAGGAAAGTGAGGAAGGGAAATGTGAGTGGCTCCTCTCGGAGGTGATGAAGCCGAAGGATTCCCAGTTATCCCGGGCACAGCCTGGGATACCCAGCCCAGCCCCAGCCTGGGGATGATTCCCAGTTATCCTGGGCACAGCCTGGGATACCCGGCCCAGCCCCAGCCTGGGGATGATTCCCAGCTATCCTGGGCACAGCCTGGGATACCCAGCCCAGCCCCAGCCTGGGAACAATTCCCAGTTATCCCGGGCACAGCCTGGGATACCCAGCCCAGCTCCAGCCTGGTGAAGTCCCCACCTCTTCCTGCCTTGCTTGAGTTGCTCCAATCTGGGAGTTGGTGCCAAATATCTGGTGGGGAACCCAAGCAGGACCGGCAAGGAGGGATGAAGGAGATGAGCTCACGGGTATTTTCCTTCTCTCTCCACTCCTATGAGTCAATCAACCCACTGAGCTGGAGCTGCTGCCCTGCAGAGGTTTGGTTCGTGCAGAGGGACCTCGGTGAGCTGGTCAGAATCCTCCTCTCTCTAATGGGAGCTGCTTGGAAGGAGAAAAACACCCTCAGAAGAGCCACGGGGAGGGAAGGGGACGCCCCAAGCAAAATAGGTGCTGGGTGTCGTGCAAAAAAAACCCACATGGGTGGTGGTGAGGGCTCCTCGGGGTGGGGAAGCCTTTGGAATGACACAGGCAGGCTCCAGAGCTGAGTCATGGAGAAGGAAAACTTGAAGTCACCTTCCAGATCCCCCTGTGGTCCGAGGAAGAGCCCGATGGGGTGGCCACAGCAGCCTGTGCTGGATGAGGATCCCATCGGCTGCCACGGGACAGTGTCACCCACGGGGCTGGGAGGCACCCTGGCACTGGGAGAAGGATGTCAGGGCTCTTGCAGGATGCCAGACCCTCTGCCTGGACCCTCACAGGTCACTCCCATGACTGTTTTGGTGCAGGAGCATATGACACATGACATATTAATTACAGGAGCACAACGGTGGGGTCAGGATCAGGAGGACACAGGGTTTCTGCTGATGCCAAACCAGAGGTGACAACCACTCTGGGGCTCTTTTTCCAGCATTATCCTTGTACTCCATTATCTTCTTTTGACCCCAAAGAAAGCAGTATGCTGCTGGCAGCAGCACTATTCCCTGGGGTGGTCATGACCCTTTGGAATTGCCACTTAAAGCACAAAACCTCAGGAGTGCTTGGCTGCTTCCCTCCGGCCCCGGTGTGTCCCCTCCATCCTGGACAGAAACCACTCTGCTAAAAAAATTCCCACTTAAAAAAGCCAAAGCATTCCAAGGTGTCCACGCTGCCCCGGACAAGGCGCTGTGCCTGTGTGGCACTGCCCTCTGCTGTCGGTGCCTGTGGGGACACCGGGCCGAGCAGAAAACACCGGGATTTATGTCACCTGAGGCACCTAGGAAGCCACAGCGCTGTCCCAGGAGGATGCCGCGCCCGGGACTGCTGGATGGTCCCCAGGCATGACAGGCAGCAAAGCCCTGGAGGGCTCAGCCCTTCTTGGGCTTCCCTTTTTCCCGGGCTGAAAGCAGAAATGGGGACTATATTTGGTGCTGCCTCACCTCGGAAAGAGTCACACAGAGCCCAGAGCATCAGCCCGGGCACGGCACCTCCTGTGGGCAGAGGAAATGAGTAACGGCAGGGTCGCTGCCTTTCCATGACCCTCTGCCTTGGGGCTGCCTGGAGGAACAGGAGTTTCCTTCCACGTGCTGGGATCACCAGCTTCTTGGGGACCCGCATGAAAAATGACTCCTCAGCTGACTTTTCCAACAGAGAAACGCTCAGGCAAAGCCTCCCAGTGATAACAGATGACACTGTTTGTCCTCCCCTCCATCAACAGCCTTTTATTCCTTCTTTGCAAAGCTGGAAGAACTCATGGGGGAGGATAAGGACACACAACACGACCCCAGAGATGGTTCTATCTCCCAAATTCTCCTCAATGAAAGGCCTCTAGATGGGGCTTTAATGCAATATTGCTGCAGGCCTCTGCCAGGCTGGGATGGCCCTTGGAGCCACCCACCTCCCAGCACCCCTGGGGGCACCCAGGGGGGTGGCACGGTGCCACCTCACCCCAACCACTGGGATGAGAGAACTGAAATATTCCCATTTCTTGGCGAATAACGTGGAGTTGATGAAGCCGGATTGGATTTGACACCCCTCCCAGCATGTTTCAGCCCCCACCCCAAGGGTGCTGATCCACGGACACTGTGGGAACCCCAAATCCCATGCAGGGCTGGATGGGTGAAGTTTGAATGGTGTTTTTCCATAAGGCTTTTTTTTTTTTTTTTTTTTGGAAAAGGTTTGGTCAGGAACCGGGCTGAGATGTTTTATACATTAAAAATTAAAACATCATCTCCCCTCTCACTCCCAAAATAAGCAGAATCCACATGGTTTGCAGTGCTGGGAAGACTGGAAATGCCTGAGAGTGCATGGCCAGTGCTGGGAATAAAATCACCGAGCTCCCAGTGTCACTCCAGGAGCTATTCCAGGACAAAAGGTTCATCCCCATTATCCCACCCCTTCTGTGGCTCCTGAACTGGTTTGCCCACCCACTCTGGGGGCCAAATCCACAGATGACACCACCATGATCACCCAAGGTCTCACTTTGTTAGGTGCCCAGTTGTCACCTGCTGGGCACGGCTTTGTGGAGCTGAGCTTAAACCCCCAGGCACGGGGGCTTTTGAGAGGAGAGCCCAGTGTGTCCTCCTGCCATCTGTCCCCGTGGGGACAGGGGGTGGCTCAGCAGTGCCACACACACAAGCTCAGGAGGGAAAGCTTTTTGTTGCTGGGTGGCAGCAGCGCTGAAATCACCCCAGGGATGACGATGCCAGCGACGTCATCTGGAAAAACGCTGCCACAAAGGGTGACTTTTAGGGCATTAACCACTTCCCAGCCCCTGCACCAGTGCTCAGCTCTTGCCTGCTCGATCAGCCCTTGCCCACCTTGTCTTTCCATGGCTGTGGAGTCCCTGAAATATTGAGTGGCACGTTTAACCATTGGACAACAGTGCAACCCTGGCACAACTGCCCAGTTCTTGAAGGGTGGGTCAGCACTTGGGGCTGCAGCTCTCGTGTGACCACACAGACATGGAACACTTGGTGTTCCCGTGACTGTTTGGCCCTTGCACAGCTGCTCATCCCAAGCATATCCAGCCCCTTCCATGCCTGCCCTACTCTGGCACATCTGCCCCTTGGTTGCCCAACCCTTGCACGACTTGCCAGCTGTCCAGATGTGGCATATCCACCCCTTGCATAACTGCCCAACTCCTGCACAGCTGCCCGTGCCTGGCACATCCAGCCCTTGCACACCCAGCCCTTTCACAACTGCCCAGCTGTGGCACAGCCAGGCTTTGCACAACTACCCACCCCTGGCACATCCAGCCCTTTCATGACTCCCCAGCCCTTTCTCAGCTGACCAGGTGTGGCAAATCCACTCCTTTGCACATCTGGCCCTTGCCCAGGTCCTCATCCCTGGCCCTTGCATCGCTGCCCATCCCTTGCCCAGCTGCCAATCCCTGGCATACCCACCCCTCGCAGACCCACCCCTTGCACATGCGGCCCTCTTGCCACTGTCTATCCCTGGCACACCCATCCCTGGCACATCCAGTCCTTGCACAATACCCTGATCCTTCCTTGCACAAGTATCCAGACCTGGCACATGAAGCCTTTTCACACCTGGCCCTTGCACTGCTGCCCATCCCTTGTCCAGCAGTCAATCCGTGGCACATCCACCCCTTGCACATGTGGCCCTTGCACTGCTGCCCATCCCTGGCACATCCACCCCTTGCACAACACCCCGATCCTTTCACAAGCACCCAGACCTGGCACACGCAGCCCTTTTACACTTGGCCCTTGCACTGCTGCCCATCCCTTGCCCAGCTGCCCATCCCTGGCACATCCACCCCTTGCACATGTGGCCCTTGCACTACAGCCCATCCCTTTCCCAGCTGCCCATCCCTGGCACATCCACCCTTTGCACAACACCCCGATCCTTTCACAAGCACCCAGACCTGCCACACGCAGCCCTTTTACACTTGGCCCTTGCACTGCTGCCCATCCCTGGCACATCCACCCCTTGCACAACAACACCCCGATCCTTTCACAAGCACCCAAACCCGACACACGCAGCCCTTTCACACCCCCCCCCTCCCCCCGTCCCCCCACCTCTCCCCCGGCTCCCAATCCCTGTGCCACCCACGCCTCGCACACTCCCACCCTCGCACACCCACCTTTGCACGCCCACCCCTCTCCCCCCCCCCATCCCTTCCCCGCCCATCCGCACCGCACCCATCTGGGTGCCCCCCTTTTCCCCGGCTCCCTCTCCCGCTCGCTCTCCCCGCCCCGGCGCTCCGTCCCTCCCCCGGGGGGGTGTCCCCTGCCGCCGTCCCTCCCCCCTGGCCGTGTCCCGCCCCCGGCCCGCCCCGGGCCGGCCGCGCTCTCGGTGCCGGCCGCGCTATAAGAAGCGGGGCGGGCGGCGGGGCCGCAGCGGGCGCGGCGGGGGAACGAGATGAGCAGCGCCGGCGCCGCTGCAAGATGCTGGATGGACACGTCCTGCTGGGATGGCTCTCCTCCTGCGCGCTCCTAGGGCTGCTCGCCTGCGCCCCGCGGCCCTCCGCCGCCTACTTCGGGTAGGTGCCCCCGTGCTCCTGCTCTTCAACTTTTATTTTAGGGTTTTTTTTTTTTTTTTTTAATGCTTTTTTTACTTTTTTTTTTTTTCTTTTTAATGAGTCTCGTCCGTTCCGCCCGAGGCGGGGATGCTGCCGCGCTCCTTCCCCTCGCTGGGTGCGGGCATCCCGGGATGACAGCCGGCACCGGCGCGCCTGTCCCGCTTCCCACCCGCTCCCAGCCGGGCGATCCCCCGAATTCCTTCGGCGCTGTCGGGCTCTCCGGGAGCCCACCCGGAGCTGCCGGGCTGCGGGAAGCAGCCGCTGAGGTCGGGAGAACGCTCTGTTCCCCCTTTTCCCGAGGGGGTGACCCGCATGGAGGGGACCTGTAGCGCGCCAGGTGCGGGGTGCGGGGTGTAACCCCCGCCAGAAAACTCTTTTTTCGCCCAATTTAACTTCATGCCTCGACCCCAGGTGCTGGCCAGCGGGTGCCGGCATCACCCCGGTGATGTTTTTTTTTTTTTTGGAGGGGTGCTTGCCGTATCCACCATCCCACGGTGTGAAGGTGATTCCCGAGGGAGCGGGGGGGTCCCCGCATCCCGACGCTCACCTGTGCGCGGGGCAGGGTGTGGCCGGCAGGGGGCGCTCCCGGCCCGGCAGGTGGATCCCGATCCTTCCCATTCCCGACCCCTTATCCCAATTATCCCTTTTATCCCCCTTTTCCCCCGAATCTCCTCTCCGTGGGCGCGGGGTTGAGCTGGAGGACCTAAATAGACGCGCTCCCTCCCGCAGCCACGTTGCGAGGCTTCAGCTCGCAGTGTCTTTCCCTCTCTGCTTTTTTGGGGTGTCACTACCTCTTATCCTTCATTTTAAAACTATTTGTCCCAAAACGTTGTCGGTTTGTGAGGGGAGTAGGACGCGAGCAGTCGTACGAGAGGGTTTGGTGCAAATTTTCTCCAGAGTGCTGATTCTTGCTTTTCGGTTTTTTTTTCTTTTTTTATGTTTTTTTGTTTTTTGTTTTTTTTTTATTGGGAGGGGGGGATGTTGTGTTGTGACCGCTGGTAGGAGCCACTGGACCAGCCCTGGAGAATGTTTTAGCAGACTTTGAGGTTTTCCCCCCTTCTTTCCAGTAAAACAAATCCTGGTGTTGAGGCTTGTCCATTGCTTGTGGTCTGGCAAAGTTTTCCAAACAGTGCTACTTACATCTTCTGTTTCCAACTCCGCAACCATTTAACTTCCTGCTGCTGGGGCTGGTTTTTCTGAGGAAACAGCCTTGTCCTGTGTGTGCAGGTTTTTAGGAAAAGCCCTCTTCTGCCTCGGCAGCACACGGAGGGCTGCACCGAGCCCGTTGCTCGTGTGTCTGCTGAAGACCACCGGCACTGAGCAGCTGAATTGTGCCGTGGGGACCGATGGGGTTTGTAAGGAGCTTGGCTCTAACTCCCCTATTAATCTGTGCAGTCTGGTATCTGCTGGAGTGCAGCAGGTAACTCATTCCAGCTCCTTCTGGGATTTCTCTCCTGGCTGGGGGAGATTTTAACTTGAGAGGGGAACACGTTGAGCCACGGCTGGGTCTGTCCTGAGCGCTTTGGGTTGTTCTCTGTCTCGGTACAGCTGCTGTTTCGGATTTGAGACTCCCTCTCTGGCAAGAAGGAGGGGATAGGAGGTTCCAGATGTGCACCCAGCCAGATGTGCACTCCAAGTGCTCCGGGGCTGCTGTGGTGTGGAGTTTGCTTATGCAAAGCATCCCGAGTTTAAAGCCCCAGCGAAGGAGCAGCATCTGCTGTTAATCTGCTCTTTGTTCTTCCAAGAGGCCTCAAGCAGAGGCTGCACTTGCTGAGCTGCGGGGGGGCACTGGGAGCAGTCAGAGCCGAGATCCCAGGTCCTGATAATCCCTGGTGTGATTTAACAAGTGCGTGTGGAAGAGCTGAGCCCTCCTCACCGCGGGCTTCTGTGTATTGATAAGGAAGGAAATCTTCCTTGGTAAAAAGCTGGATCTTCCTGCAGAACTCTGTGTTCTCTGCCAGTGCCCTGTGAAGGGTGGTATTGACCTTTCTTCCTATGGAGAAGCTGCTCCAGGAGAGGCAGCACATCTGTTTATTCTGATAAATCTTTCCTGAGCACCTGAATGTGTCACCTGAGCTAAAATACTGAACTGAACTCAGTTGATGCACCAGTTTCTCTAGGCAGGGGGAGGGATGCTCCTTCCCAGTCCGAGGCATCACCAAAGCCACCAGGACACCTTTTGGTGGCCTGCTGGACCCTCTGCTCTGGGCACTGCCACCCCTGTCAGAGGAGGTGGAGGGGCACAGACCGTGTTAAACAGATGTCGTGGTGTAGCTGCAGCTTGGCTGCTCCCTTCCACGGTCTGCAGGGGGATAGGGACAGCTGTGGATGATCCCTTTCCCCCCCCCTCCCCATCCCCAATGTCTTATTTCAGGGAAAGAATTCGGTGTCTCCAAATGTGTGGCCTGGTGGGGAATTAGTGGGGACAGAAATGGGGCCCTGGTTACGCGATAACAAGTTTGTGTCAGCATGGAGTTATGTCTGGGGCTGTCCCGAGGGGCAGGAGGGGATGCTGGGGTGGGAATAGCACGGCTGGAGGCTCCTGCTTCCCTGGAAGTCTGGCTGTGGTGTTCCTGGAGGGATGCACAAGCAGCCAAGAATGAGAAATGCCCTCTGGAAGCTGAGCTTGGGGTGTGTGTGTGAGGTAATGGTGATGCAGAGGGGGCTCTGGCTGCTGCCATGGAGGAGATGTGCTGAAGGAAACGGTTCAGTGTCCAGGGTGAAGGGAGGGACAGGTTTTTCCCTAGCCTTGGGGTGACCTGGGTGCTGCTGCTCTCCTCCCTGGAGCAGGAGAGAAGCAGGTGCCAGGTTGACCTGGAGCTGATACCCGGCAATGGCAGGACCTGAGGGGGATGGTGGTGTGTGGCATGAGCAGAGCTGAGACCCTGCAGGCACCTGCTCAGGAGGGGGTTTGAGGGGTTATAGTCAGCCCTAACTACTGAAGAGAGTGGCTGCAGGGATGTGCTGGTGCTACAGCTCCCAAGCCTTATCTGATAAGAGACTTCTTGATGCTGAAAAGGAAAAGCCATGTCTACAAAACTGAGCACGGCCCCGATGGCTTGTTGTGTGTTTAGAGCTGCACATCAGGGTACCTGATGATGCTGATGGGTGCATTTTTGGGGAGGAGAACGTGTAGGAGACTGTTACAGGCTCAGTCTGCACCAGAGGGGGAAGCACTGCCTTGAGAGAAGTGTCAGCTGAGAACAGTGTGAGATGCACTGGCTGTTCCAGAAGTTCCCCGAGCTTTTATGCTCAGCCATGGCCTCTGCAGCTGGGCTGTCTGAAAACTAATTTGCACCATATTCCAACTGGCTGGTGGGGGTAGTTTGGAGCAGCCCCAGACTGCTGGGATCCCTGAGAAAGCATTGCATTTCACTTCTCCTCCTGCTCTGCTTTCCCTGTGCCTTGCACGCTCTGGGTGTGGGCACCACCCCTCCTCCCTTTCCTCTCTCAGATGTGGCTGGGGGTGGTGGAAATGCCAGAGCAGCATCTGGGAATTGTGTCGGGTCTTGCACTACTGCGCTGTGGAAGTGGCAGATGACAAGATTAGCCGTGCTGGGGTGACAGGCAGGCTGAGGAACTTCAATCCTGCTGCGCCCCGGGGCTGGTGGGAAGGAAGGGAAACCAGCCTGGAGGAGCTGCTGCTTTCCTGAGCTGCCCGCTCTGTGGATCTGAGGTGAAAACCCGTGCAGGCCATAAATCACACCCCCCTCTGTTTCTTTCTGGGTGTCCTGATTTAGAGTCTGATTCAGTTTGGATGCGCCCCTTCCTTGTTTTTCTTTGCCGAAGGAGCGTTTCCAGCGTGTCGGGATTTGCTCGGCTTTGCTCAGAGCAGCAGGAGCCGAGCAGCTCTGCCCCCTCCGCAAACACTTGTCAAGACAGTAGTAATGTTACAAGTGGCTCATGCTTACATAGTGTTTATATTGACAGATTGCAATGTTCTTCATAAATGTAACCGAGCTGAGCTCTGCACGCAGGCAACAGGAACCCTCAAATGCTCACGAGGGGGAGAGGGAGGGAGGGAGGGGAAGCATAGCTTGCCCTAATTTACCAACACACCCCTGGCGAGAGCAGGTTCTTTGCTGCCCAGTGGGGGGTTTTTAGTGTGGGAAGTGCAATATATTTTTATTCCCTTTGGCAGGTGCAGAATAGGTGCCCACGGACAAAACTATAGGTTATGTGCTAACTATAGGTAGGTGCTGTCGGGTAGAAACTTTGTAGTTCGGGGTGTAACTTTGCTAAAAGCACTTGGAAAAGAGCTGGATATTGGATTTGAAGGGGTGTTCGGGGGTTGTGGTCACTGAGCGGGTGGGTGGTCGAGCACTGAACATGCTCCCCAGGGCAGTGGGCACAGCCCCAAGGCTGCCAGAGCTCCAGGAGGGTTTGGCTGATCCTCTGGGGCACAGGGAGTGACTCTCGGGGATGGGCCTGTGCAGGGCTGAGAGTTGGACTGGATGATCCTTGTGGGTCCCTTCCAGCTCGGCATATCCCGTGATTCCGAGTTCCTGCCAGGGGTGAGACTCGCCACGCGTGTCCGAACTGTCACTCGGAGCGTGTGGCGTCACCTCGAATGTCACCTCCAATAAAAGCAATCCCACGGGCTCCGCTGCCTGGTTTGTTTTTTTTTTTTTTCCAGCCCGTGGGACGCGCTGGGTGCCAGCAGGGCTCTCGCACATCCCAGATTTCTGTACCTGTCACTGGATGGTGGTGTGGGGCCACCCGAAGGCGCGGGAGCTCCCGGGGAAGCTGCGGCGCGTCGGCTTTTCCAGGCGCGCCTCTCGCTCGTCTCTGGCGTGTGTGAGACGGAGCAGCTGGTTCTCGGAGCAACCCAAAAAACCAAAAAAAACCTGGGCTCGGGTGGCGAGGCAGGAATGCAAGAGCGCAGGCAAACACAGCTGGAGCCTGCAGAGGCGGCTCCCGGGGGCTGCCAGGGCGGCTCTGCCATCCCGCCGCGTTCCGCC